TAAAAACTTAGTCCCTACCACATTTTTGTTCTAAGAAATCCTTCCCTATTTCAAAACTGCAAAGATATTTTATATTTTCTTCTAAACTTTTTTAAGTTTTGCCCTTTCACATTTAAGTGCTTCATTCATTTAGAATTTATATTTGTGTATATGAAATAGGCATCCACTTCCCTCCCCGCTGCCTGTATTAAATGACTACCCCAGCACCATGTGCCCAGCAATCCACTCTTTCCCCCACCGATCTGCATCGCTAGCTCTATTGCATATAGCAGGTTTCCTTACATGTGTGGGTCTTTGGACCTTTTACTTCCATTCTACAGGTCAGTCTGCCTCCACGACAATTCTGCACTAAAAATTTGTAATCAATCTTAACAGTTGGTAGGGCAAATGACTTCCTTTCCGCAAACCTGGTTCTTGAGCAGTACCATGGCTCTTCAAAGCCCCCTGTACTTAATTATATATTTCAGAATCCATTTTTCAACTTCTAAGGAAAAGGACATTGCAATTTTAATTAAAATTACATTGAGGGTATAGATCAATTTGGCAAAAACATCTTTATGACAATGAATTTTCCTTCTCAGTAAGATTATGTCTTTCAATAAGTTTTATTATTACACATATTTTGGCTAAGATTTTCCTACCTAAGTGATTTTTTAATAACTACTCTAAATATCTTTCCCCCCAGTTTTAATTGCAGTTTCTGTCTGTTGATTATTCAAAGAAATGTGATTAGCTGATTTTGTATACAAAGCAACCCTGTCAAACTTTCTTACTAACTCCAATAATTTGTCTGTAGAACAAAATGGTTTCATTTCTAAATTTTGTGGTTAAGTTAAACCTCTGGCTATTGCCTCCAAATAATGCTGAATAGAAAAGATGATGACAGGCATTCTTGTCTTATTCCTGAGATTATAAGAACTATTTTTAATATCTCATTATCAAGGATTTATTTGTCCTAACTTTTAACTAGACTGAAGGGGTTCTCTTCTATTGGTGGTTTGCTAAGATACTTAATCATGAATGATTGCTTAATTTTATTGAATGTTTTTTCTTTATCTATTAGGATGATCATATGTTTTTCTCCTTTAACCTATTAATGCTTTTAATATAGTGAATACCATTTCCAGAATCCTAACAAGGACCCAACATGTCGGATTCTGACCAATCTATTCTACATTAGCATGGTTTACACCATACATCTAGTGACAAAGATGATATAAATATCAATATCTTTACCAAATATAACAACTTAGGTTAAATTGCTAATACGTTAAAAGATTAGAGCTCAGAATAAATGTAATAAATTAGGTCCAAGAGTAGAGAATCAATCTTAGGGAACACAGCCAAGGTGACAAGAGGTATTATAAATATAAACCTGACCAGAATGGTGTAGGCTAACATTCCACAAAACAACTCAATGCATTTTCTGGGAAAAAAAAAAAAAAGTGCCATCAAAATGGACATTTATTTTGTACATTCTCTACCTCTGCAGTATTTTTGGTTCTAGGTCTTAAATGAAACCCTGATTCTTTCTGTTGATATTTCTCCACAACTAACCTAAAGCACAAAGGCATGCACAACACTTTGGCCTGAAGAGTACACAGCATATTGCAGAAGTTCTCTAAAACTTCAGTATGGCAGAAAAATCATTTTGCAAGATTTCAGTTTGCAATCACAGGATCTTCAGAGGGAGAAGAGAATTCAGTTTTTATTTAGCCCAAACTTTTATTTTAGAGATAACTTTAGTTATCTAGTTAACAGAAGAATTATTTTGTTGGTAATTAACACATGGAATGGACTAAAAATCCATTAACATCTATACTTTTACTATCATAAATTCAATTAGTTTGGCATGCCTTATTTTGTATTAAATTAATATGACATACGCCTTATACCTTATAAAGGTCAGAAATTTTCAAAGTGCACTCCAGGATGTCACCCTACAATAATGGGGTGGAAAGAGGGCAGAGGTTCTTCGGAACAAAGCAAATCACCATTTTTGAGGAGAAAGGGAATAAACAGAGCTGAAACAGATAATTTATGTTAAGAACTTCGTATGCGGCGGGCACTTTCCTAGGTACTCTGTGTATACTAACACATTAAATAGGAACAGAAACATAGTTTGGAATGCTTTATGATGTTATATTTGGGGAGGAAACCTGCTTCTATAATAAATACTACAGAAAGTAAAGCTTAAATTTTTTTTTGGATGAGGACATAAAGTAGATATGGTGATTCCCACTGAAGTAGGAGACTGGGGAGAAAAGAAGAGAGGACCCATCTATGGGGAGCCTCATCAATCTCTGAAGGTGGTTGAGATTTTAACAGTTTCCACACTAAGTATCTGTTGCACAAATGGTTCCAGGGCTAAAAAACAAAAATGGCTGAAAACTCTTGTTCTATTTTATCAGCAAATTAGTTAAGCTATGGTTTAATATTTTTCATGTAAACTGTAATTTGTAAGGCTTTTCCTTTCCCTTTTGTTTTTTCTACAGATTGGCCCTGAGCTAACATCTGTTGCCAATCTTTTATTTCTTCTTCTTCTTCCCAAAGCACCCCAGTACATAGTTGTGTATCCTAGTTGTAGGTTCTTCTAGTTCTGCTATGTGGGACACCACCTCAGCATGGCTTGATGAGCAGTGCTAGGTCCATGCCCAGGATCGGAACTGGTGAAACCCTGGGCCACTGAAGCGGAGCATGCAAACTTAACCACTTGGCCACATGGCCAGCTCCTCCTTTCCTGTTTTAAAATACGCATTTCTCTCTCTTAAATTTTACAATCCATACTCTTCCCATCTCCTTCCTAAATTTAAGTGTGTATATCCTAGGGGTAAGTGGTGATATAGGGTGAGAGGGAAATGTGTTTATGGGAAAGTTAAGTAAGTGATGAGTAAATTATTTTTCAATATTAAAGAGAACAGAAATATATGACAAGGTCAAATAAAAATTTCACATGACTTTTAAAGATAAAAAAAGACTTCAAATAAACTTCATGGTCACTTCAGGCCAATCCCCCAACAGCAACAAATATCTACTTTTCTAAAGCATCCTGCAAATTACTATTGATTCAAATTACTCTTAGCATTAATATAATAATTTGCCATTATAAACAGATTACTTACAATGCAATTTAGGGCACAGGCAAGAGGGATTTGATAACACTGAATACTCCACCTATTTTCCCATTTTAAAATGAAACTTTTACATTATGTGTAGCACATGTTCTGTTTATTTGATTAGAGAGGAACTTTATGAATAAAAGACAGGCTTTAAAAAAACTCCTATAATAGCTACTTTTTAAAACCGTAAATTGTTATGTTTCTCCACATATCCGACTGCTGACAATTTCCTAAATTGTCCTCTTTTCCTCTGAACAACTGAAGGATGTTTTACATTTATAGGTTTAATAAGCTGCATCTTGTTTATCAGTGTAAGTTTTCTGGTTAGGTCATTATCTAGTTGCATTTCTTTGTAGTTTTGTTTACTGATCTGTCCTGGTTTCATTTTTTGAACAATTTTATGTTAACTTTCACAGAGGTACCATTCTGGGTTTGACTAACTAAGACAGAACACAGAATATATGAACATAGTATAATAAATTTCCGTCAAATGCAAAATAACTACTGTTATGATTACAGTACACACACAAAAGGGCTACCAGGCTTTGAAAAGCAGAGAAATCTCCCTCTGGCCTTAGCGTATGACGGCATCTAAGAACATAGCTCTTTCTGATATTTTAAACAATTATCTTGACTACTTGTATGCTTCTTTGAACATTCCAAAGATTTCACCCATGTTCTCACTGGACTGCTATGATGCATGTGTTAAACAGTTAAAGGATGTCATCTCTTTAGAGATAGGCAGACCTGCGAAGTTTCCTGTTAGGTATTTCATGGCCCACACAGAACTTAGCCCTGGACCCCTAAAGGAGCTAATAGTAACTGCAGAAGGGAATCAGGAAAGACACTGTTAACCACATAATCTGCAATGGTAAACTCCATCAAACGATAACCATCAATAAGCATGTTTAGAGGATACCGCTACCCCAACCAAAGAAAACTCTGGTTTTATCAGTTAGTTGTCTAAAACTTACTGATCTTTTCAAAATAAGTACAAACTGAGACATTTTTGTTAACAAGGGGCTAATACACAAAATCAGAAGTGATATGTACATTTTTTCCAGTAGAACAATAATTGAGACCAATTGTGGCCAGAATCATGGCACAGACAGGGGGTTAGAGCTATACAATCTACAAATATTAAACAAAAACTACCTTGTAGAAATTAACTGTTAATAATTCCTTATCCCATAAGGGCATTTTATGACAACAGGATATATTCTTCACTGATAATTTGATAAAATATTTCACTCTATGAATATCACCAATGCACACATATGCCACTGTGTAACTTGTGCTGAAACCAGAGAACTCTAGTGTCTGTTACATCTCATTAATTTGGGACAATCTCTATGACTAAACCATCAAGGGAATAAAAAGATACTAATGTTATTAGAAAGTATAAAATGGATATGTTCAACAAACCCTGGGTCTTAATAAAAGTCTTTGTTTAAATGTAACTAAATTGTATCAACAGTCAGGCAATATTACCATCCATTCTTAATAAAACCAACAAGAAGATCAAATGACTAGAAACTAAAATAGCATTGGGAGGTAGAATCATAAAAGATGTATGATGAAAAAAGGAACCCAGCATCAATTTCAGTAGATAGTTCTGAATAGCTAACTAAAGGATTTATGTTCCCCTAAAACCACAGTTGCTAAAACCAAGTTTTGTGCTTTGTTCCTGCAATTACAGATGATGTTCTTCTCTTAAATGGACAAAGTACTTACGCTAAATGCTTTCTTGAGGTGATAGAGCAATATAAATACCCAATAGAGGAAAAAAAAACCCAAGAGAAGGAGTACTTTTCCTTACAAACCCAAATGTACTTTATAATAAAATCACAGCAATGATAACTGCTAAAGGCTATCTCCTACCTGTGTTTTTTGATGCCATTGGAGAGAGCATCTCCACCACCACAATCTTTTCCTTCAGACATTCTGTGTTTTCAACTGCTCAAATGCTTTCCTTCTTCAAATGAGTGCGCTGTCACTGCTTCCAACTCAGGGACCGTTCGGATTCGGAATCTGTGGCAGAGCAGGTTCACAGTCAATGAACTGAAGTTTGGTGCCAGGCTTTGGTAACAATGGATATCTCCTTTTATGCATCAGGCTTTGAAACTTAAGCAGCCTACTTTGCCTTTCAACAATCCATCATTTAACTACCTCCTCAGGGATTTCAGAGAATGTGCACCCAATAAAGTTAAAGTGGATTTATGAAACAGATATAGGTTTATATGAACTTACAATTAAACAGATTTTATATATTAAAAGAGATTTCCAAACATTACCTTATCTTTAAGGAATCATAGTCAGTGGTTTCCCCCCAAACTTCTATTTTTATTTTCCCTTCCAAAGCGTCTTAAGTATAACTTACAAAAAGCATTCAAATTTTAAAATTCATATATAAGGAAAAAGCTATAGTGGCTGTACTTGTGGGAAATGTAAATTATATCCGATACTGTAGACAGAAAAGCAACAGCATTAAAATATTTTAAAAACCCTTCTTCTGCTATAATATTATTTAAATCCTCCAGTGCTAAAGCCCAAAGTGTCTATATAAAATCTAATTATCAGGCAGGCATTTTTAGGATGGAAATGCCACATTCCCAACTGGCTATGTGTTCAGAATGGAGCCATCTGCCTGTTTGGGAATAATAAGACAACTTATTTTTATACAATACATCACAGTTTTCAGGCATGTTCACATTCTTCATCTCCTTTCAGCATCTCCAGGGGGCTTTGGTGACAGCAAGGGAGGACTACAGGGTTAACAAGTGTGCTAATGGTTTCATGGTTTGCAAGTTAGGTAAACCAGGATTTGAACCTAGGTTTTCCGACTCCTTGTTTAATGCTCTATTTATTTCAGCTGAAAACAGCAGTCACTCAGTCTTCATAAAACTTTAAATGGTGCCTAAGTTTTTATTAAAATATAAATTCAAGGTAACTTTCCCTTCTTAAGCAGATAACTATTCACTCAACTGTCCTCAGCTCTGGGAAAGCATTCTTACACATATTCAAGCAAACTTCCTTAAAAAAATTTATCAACCATCTGCTCAGTATGCATTATAGCTAATCTGTTCAGGAAATTAAATTTTTTAGTGCTTTCTTTTCCCCTTACTGCATTCTATAATTCAGCCAATATCATGGAACCTTATTTTCAACATATTAGGTTGATTAGTAACAACTGCTGGAAAAGCACAACTGCAAGTTGGCCAACATACCTTGAACTCTGAACTCTTTAATGTTGTAAGTTACTTGCAGAAAGACTTTCGATCCTAGTAAAGTTATTTTTATTTTCTATTAATAAGTAAATATTTTTGGAACTTGAGAATACAGAGCTTTGTTCTGTCATATGCCTTATAACAAATAAACAGATATTTTACAAATAAATTTAAAGAGCTATCTATTTTTCATTGTCAATTTCAGCAGGTAGTCACAAAATTTTATCAAAAGAAAATGAAAGACAATCTGAATAGCCAATAAGAGGAAAAGAGTCACCTATTAGATGAAATAAGCAGTTGTTAAAATTACACTTACGAAAACAATTTTGATAAAATAGAAAAATGCTTTTAATATAATGCTAAGACAAAAAAATCAGGATACCATTTTACAACTCTAAACTAAAAAGCAAAAAAATAATTTTACTCTGCCTTAAAGAAAGACCAGACTGGTTCAAGAAAGCAGATATCGGTACAAACAAGAGCAGTAAAATGAGAGAAGTTTGTCTAGGGCACAGTGAAGCAAAGTGGGGATCAGGCAATTTTCTGAGGTAGGCAAATGAGTGTCAGGAAAGCGTACATAGGAGAGGCAGGGCTGCAGGAAAATCTTAAAAAAACGAAAACAGTGCTCAGGTGGAGGAGAGAGTTGTTCAGATGGAGCAGCATGAGCAACACCTGAATCAAAGATAATGATAGTGGTCTTGCAGTGGTGGGTGGGGGGTGGTTTTTTCACTTCTACATTTTCAAACTTGTTTCATATGAAAAAAACTAAGAATTTAAAGAGTCAAACAAAAATAACTCTCTATTGGTTAGTATTATTTAAGATGCATTAGTACTTTATAATTTAGATGTTATGAAAATCAAAAAGCACTCAAGCAAAAAACCTCAAGCATTTATTAAACATCACTATGCACAGGATAATGTGTTTGCTATTTAAGAAATACAAATCATAAGACAGGAACTTGTCCACACAAAAAGAAAATTCTTAACAAAAAGAAGATATACAGTAAACACCAAACAAGAGGTAAGGCAGTAAGAGCTTCTATGAAGCAAAGACAGACTTTTCTCAAAACAAGATTTCAACTTAGTGAATACAAGATGAAGACCTACCTCTCTCACCTGTATCACGGGACCATGGTGCTTACCCGTAGCAATACACCATCAGGTGGGAGTACAGACCCTTGTCCTCTGTGGCTACCAGTTCTTGACTCTCTCTCTGGCTCTCTCCTAGTCCATCTCCCCTCTACTCCCTTTCTCCTTGTTCCTCCACCTCTCCCTGTCCCCCAATCATTATTCCTCTCTACCCTGCTCCCAATCTCCTTCCCTCTCCAATAGAATCAGGCTATCTCCACTCTTCCCTTGAAGGGCTCTGACCAAAGTCACCAATTACTTCCACATTGCAAAGTCCAATGGTCATTTTTCAATTGTTAGTGTGACTCATCTGACACTGCTTAATTCATTCCTCTCCTTCATCATGTGCAAGGCAATAGTGGGATTCAAAGAACAGTAAGAACTGATCCCTGCCCATGGTCTAGCAGAGTCAGACTGTTTTGTGAACACATGAGTTCAGTAAATTTTTCTAGGTGCAGTAACAAAGTCTGAACAGAAGCAGTGGACCACAAAGGAGAGATCAGCCAATTTTTCAGAGTGAAGGACAGGGTGTCCAGAAAGGATTGTGGCTCATGATAAGCTGAGTAAGTTGACAAGGAGTAAGAGTGGGGGTGGAGGAGAGAGTTACAATAGAGGAACTGTTCCAAGCAAAGCGAACAATGACCCAACACAAGGAGAAAAGAAATATTCAGTAAGATGGGAGTGGAAGAAACAAGAAAGAAGTGGTGGTAGGAGTAGTTGGATGGAAATGAGGCTATGAATCAGTCATTAAGCTGACTATATAGGATAAATAAAAATCAAAGGCAGGCAGTGCAACAAAGAGAATACAACATGAAGCTAAGAACGAGGTATTCCCCCAATACATGCCATGAGGTTCTGTATACTTGCTGGAAGTAAATCACAAAATTATCTCTGAGCGTTCTAGCTTCAAAGACAAAGAAGCAAACATGATCAATTACATGATTTACAGTGCCTGTGAGAGAAAAACTAACAAGTTACTTAAGAACATAAGCTCAGTTACTTCTAATGCTACAGAGATGTCTAATATATATAGTAGTCTGATATAGTTTGGACTTATTCTATTGGCAATAGGGAGCCATCTTAACAGACTATGACTTCATAGCAATAGTCACACTAATCTGTCTATCTCCAGTATAACATCGTTTCAAACGGAGACTCATAGTTCTTGATATATTTAAATTCAAACACGTTTAGCTAAATGTCAAAGAGGCCACAGCCACCACGGAGAATCAAGGTAAAGCCTGCCCACAGAAGCAATTTTCAAGTCTCCCTGTATTAACAAATCAGTGATAGATCTCAGTGCCTCTGAGGCGATAATTCAATCTTAAAATTTCAGGTCTTTCAATTTTGCCCATACATAAAAATATCAAATGGGCCAGATTTTATCTACCATCCAACGTTACTGGGCAATATATTAATGACTTAGCGGAAAGCATAAAGTATTGGAAAGAGTGTGCTTGATGCCTCATGGTGGTTACAGTGCTCTTTTACAGTGGTATATGGCTGCAGTTCTCATGCTTTAGAAACAAACAAACATGGGGGCGGATGGGGAGTTACTGTTTAATGGGTACGGAGTTCCAGTTTAGGATGAAGAAAATGTTCTGGAGATGAGTAGTGGTGATGCAACAACGTAAATGTATTTAATGCCACTGAACTGTATATTTAAAAATGGTTAAATGGTAAACAAAACAAAACCTAAACAAACAGGCAAACAGAAACTTGTCAAGCCAAAGTCAAAGATCTAGCAGGCTGGATGCATGAACTATATTCTGGTCCTGTTCTCTCTCACCTCAACGCCAACAATGAAAGAAAACCACACAGAAGAAAAAGTGGTTGATTTTGCTACAGACCCAATGTTTTTAAATGCAGCAAAAGAAACTTAACAATAAACATAGCTAGATTTCAGAAAGAGTTAGCCTTTCATTATTCTTTTTATTTCCCACTGCATTTTACCCTTATAAACATATATGTTTCTATAATACGTAAAATCACCCAAAATTTTCAGGATACTTCAGTGACCACTGAAAAAGAGGGTAATGGATTTATGAAATAGCCTTACATTACTTATTGAACTTTTGGTGAGTCATTAGGAAAATTTGTATAGCCCTGAGTAATGATGGGAAATGCAACACTTAGTATGTATTTATTTGTGGCTTTGTTTCTTCTCATCTAGTTCCAAAAGGATTCAGGTGGCTTAACTGATAATTATATTTTATAGAAAATCTGTTAGAACAATACTTGGAAAGAAACTATATTTTAGAAGATAAATTCTCCAGCCTACAGACAAGCATTTAAGGTAGATAGAATATCTGCCTGACTAATTTCTCAATTAAATGAGTAGTATTAACAGAAAGTTTGTTTTAATGTGATAAATCCCCAATGGCCTAGATCTTTAAAGCTCTATCCACATTAGGACTTAGAATTATTTTGAACACATTTCAGATTGAACACAATCTTCTCTCATCCAAATAGCATGGAAGCCAATGGCTGTGACTGGGTTAACACAACTTTAAAACTTTACTTGTAAAGTTGTATATATTAAATATATACAGCTCTTTATATGTCAACCATAGCTCAATAAAGTGGTTTTAAAAACTTTAGATTAAGAGGAGCATTACTTCTATCCTACCTTTTTGAGTTTTTCCTCCTTATTAAAAGGCTGGAAAACAAGGTCATGAAGTTAACAATATAAATATGCCAACAATTCTTATGTTATCCTGATAAACTTTTATTCAATACAACCTTTGAAAAACAGCTTGAGAACAAATAGTACAAAGGAGCAAGATGTGGAAGAACTGTGGATAACGTCCAAATAACCCTTCCCCCTGTTACTTCAAGTAACAGGAAATAGTCAGGAGCCACACATACTCAATTTAATATCCCTTTATTGTTTATGGTTTCCCACATACTAGGCATGTTCCAAAAATGTCCAAAGTAACCCAACGTAACCCAAGCTTAAAATATCAGTGCCAAATTTTTTTGTGCGTGTGAGGAGGATTGGCCCTGAGCTAACATCTGTTGCCAATCTTCCTCTTTTTGCTGGAGGAAGACTGTCACTGAGCCAACATCTATGCCAATCTTCCCCTACTTTATGTGGGATGCCGCCACAGCGTGGCTTGACGAGCCGTGTTACACTCATGCCCAGGATCTGAACCTACAAACCCCAGGCTGTGGAAGCAGAGTGAGAGAACTTAACTACTACGCCACCAGGCCAGTCCCAGTGTCAAAATTTTATTTAACTTTAAGGTAAAATTGAGTGAACTCAAAAATAACACAGCAAAAATGAAGAACACAAAGAAAATAAGTGAAACGTACCACATTTAGAATAAATTGCAAACTGAAAATCAGGATGAGTCCAGAAGAAGCTGCCAAGAGACTGCTACAGTTATCTACTAAGGAAATGACAAAGCTTAAAACAGAATTTTGGCAGTAAGCAACAAGAGTCAGAGACATTCTAGACATATCCTCTCTGAATGATGTCTAAGGTCAAAATCAGCCAAAACGTATATAGTGCTGCAGATGACAGAGTTTCTTAAGAGTACTGGCTTGTCCCCAAGCAACTAAATCTACTAGTTTTCCACAACTTGCAAAATCTGCACATGTAATTGAAGATGAATAATTATACAAACTTTTGTGTGGTCTCCTGGAAATCTTATGTTTATCTATTTTGGACTACTACATCCAGAGCTTTCTAATTTGTCTTATTGATATCTTTAAAATTATTTTCAAGAAGGTCATTTTGCATTTACTCTACAAAGAAAATAATTCTAGAACTAAAGACCAGTTACAAAATAATCTATAGTTATAAAACAAAGTATTTTCACATGACTTCAATTTAATAAATCAATGTTTATCAAATACCTACCGCTCACCAGGTAAATGGCTAGTTGCTGAAATAGTTTAGAAAGATTAAGGAGATGTGGTTGGTGCCCTCCAAGTATTCAAGGTCCAATCTAGTAGAAGGCACACAAGTAAACATACGCTTATACAAACGGTTTGTGGGAATAGTGGAAGAAGTCACTCTTACGGGAACCAGAGTAAGTTTCCAAGCAGAGATGACATTTGAGCTTCGATGATGAATAAGAGTTTAAAGCAGGAAAAGAGAATACTGGGTGTTAAGGGAAGAGCAAACAGCCCCAAGGCCTGAAAGAACAAGGTGTGTCCAAGAATATCTGGCATAGTTAGGGAGGAGAGTAGTTAGAGGGAAAAGATGTGGTCATCAGATAGAAAGCTTTAAAGTGGGTCAGATCACAGAGCATGGACTTAACCTTTAGTAAGGGGGAGTTACTGGATGTTTTTCCAGAGAGTGATAGATCGGTTTTAAACTTTACAGATAACTCTGATGTATCCGTGTTTCATGGCCACTGTAACAATTACCACAAACTTGGTGGCTTAAAACAACAAAAATTTAGTCTCATAATTCTGGAGGGCAGAAGTCCAAAATGAGTTTCACTGGACCAAAATCAAAGTGTTGGCAGGACCACTGTCCTGCTGGGGGCTCTAGGAGAGAATACATTCCTTATTTCTTTCAGCTCTGGTGGCTGCCCGCATTCCTGGGCTTGTGGCCACATTACTGTAGTCGCTGCCTCCCACTGCCTTTTCCACTGTGTGTTTGTCTAATCTCCCTCTGCCTTTCTCTTATAATGATACTTGTGACAGCATTTAGGTCCCACTCAGATAATCCATGATAAGCTCCTTATCTCAAGATCCTTAACTTAATCACATATGCAAAGATCTTTTTTCTAAAAACAGGTTATAGGTTACCGGGATTAGAAGGTGGACATATCTTTGGGTGGCCATTTTTCAGCCTATTACACCTGACAATATGTAATGTGGAAGACTCGTCGGCAGGGTCAAAGCCTAGAAGCAGGGAAACCTGTTAGCAGGTACTGTCATAGTCTATGTCAGAAGGAGGGGGAATTTGAAGTAAGGCATTGGCAGTGAATACTGGGGAGGTGGGAGGAAAAGACTAGATATGTGGGGGTGTAAGTAAAGGAGACAAAAGATGACTTCCATACTTGTAGTTTTCACAGTGGGTAGATGATGATGTCATTAACCAAGATAGGAAATATAGAAAGGGATAGAATAAGCTGACAAGTCCAATTTCCATAGTATAGAGTTTGAGATGCTTTGGGCCAAACTGAGAATTTTCAGTAAAGAGATGAGAAGCCTAAGGATATCATTATCCTCCACAACCAACTGGTTCTCAAGTTCAGTCAATTTAGCCTTAAAGATGTATCTCAAAATTTTATTCACTCAAATATTTGAACTCCTAATACGTGCCAGAATTTATGCTAGTTGCTACGGATGCAGAGTTTCTCATGGAATTTACTGTCTGGTTGAGTGCAGGGTTGACAAAAACCAAATAATCACACAAATGAGTACAAAATTTCAACTAAGGGAAATGCTGTGGTACTATGGTGCACTGAGAGCTTATAAACAGGGATCTGAATAAGTCAACTAGACTTCCTTGAAGAAGTCTCTGACCCTGAGCAAAAGTCAGAAGGATACCGTTCGAACAACTACAGCAATAAAAAGGGAGAGAATTGAAACCTTCTATTCTTATGTAAATTGCTTTTATTTAAACTCTTGTCATCTCTCATCTAGGTTACTAGGACCTCAAATCAATCTCTACTCCTAAAACAAAAATATTTTACTAGCATGTGAACTCCTGAGTAGGGACCATGTCTTATTTTCTTTGAATTCCCAATTCTTAATATAATGCAAGCATATTATAAGAATTCCACAATGTTTACTAAAAAAGTGAATCTTTATAAAACATTAATCTGACATCACCCTATATACTTAATTATCCCTATTGGCAACCACCACCTATACGCTAAAATTCAAATTCTTCAGCAGAATCTTATCACAAGACTCATTACAAGCTGATCC